TGCTGGAGAGGTTTGGACATGAGGGCAGCTTTCTGCTGAGAGACAGCGCGACTGTGCAGGGAGCCTACTGTCTGTGTGTGAGGTGAGCTGGGACTGGGTTGTACAAAGATGACTAAAAGTGACATTTTCCATCCAGTTTTGTTGAACCATTATATTCTTCATTTAAGCTGTCTCTCCATTGGTGAATACACCAAACATGTTTTATTTATCGTAACTTTATCTTCAAGATAAGCCGAGAACATCAGTTGAAAAGCTCTGACTTAGGGCTTTTTGCTGACATGCATTTATGTCTCTATATCATTAAAAAACTGAAATTAATTTTAAACATTTTCAGAGTTCATGGGATGTATAGACTTTAAATTTAAAAAGCCACAAGAACAAGTTGGGACAAAGTTACTTTACATGTAAATGGACAGTATTAGCTGTGTATAAATAGTAAACATTTTTTCCAACCTTGAACTGTTCAATAATAGTATTGTAAGGGAATATTACTAAACATTTATTTGTGTATATTTCTTTACTGCATTGTTGGTTCCTGTAAGGACAGTTTAAAAGGTGTTAAACAAACACAAAAATGAATACATAGAAAGTTGGCAAACATTTACAAAACTGTACCTGGAAAATAATGAATACGTCATGTGTAACTGTTAAATTAAGTGCTCTGCCATGTTATGATATTCATTTAAACAACATTAAATCATGTCTTTAGTTTTCTGCCTGCTGCTGTGTTTGATATTTGATGCAGGAAAATGTGTAATGTTGTGAGGTGACACTGGGGAAAATATAGAGAATAGATAGATAGCACTACACTGAAATACCGATGTAAAACAAAACAGTGGTTTTCTCATTTTTGTCTAAATGTATTTGCTTGCACCGCAGACATTTATTTTAAAGAGAACTTGTCAACAAATTCTACCGCAGTAAAACTCAAAAACAGACCGAACAAAACCACTTCTAACAGAAATGTCCACCTTGGTAAAGTAGAAAGTTGTGTACTGACTGCGGTGGAAGAGGTAGACAGGTCTTTTACTGGAACAGAAATAGCAATACTACAACGAAAAATAGTCTTACGTTTAAAAACGTACTTAAGTAAAGCAGTAAATTGTACTTAGTGTACTCACTACTCAAAATGAATTAAATTATAAGTATTTATACAGTATGAGATACTGTATATATTGGAAGCAGCATCTGCATTTTGTCAAGGTATAGAGCTACGCTAATTTTAACAACTGTACACTGTTAGGGAGTTGCATCTATAAAAATAAATATTTTATAAACTGAAATGTAATGTAGAAAAAATAACAATATTTCCCTTTAGTGTAGGGGAGAAAAAGTGTTAAGTAGCATTCAACAGAAATATTATACGTAAGATGCAAATACCTGAAGTAGTGAAATCTGAGTAGACCAAATTTTAAAAGACAGAATAAAAAAAAAGAATAAAGAAAGATGGAAAATTTTAATTTTTTTTTTTATTTAAATGGATTAAAATAAGTTTGATTGCTCTGTATAAAGATTGATAAAGAAATCACTGAGGTCTGGTTTTTACTTCCAGTGTGTCATCGTCTCTTTCAGATTTAATCATCACATCGGAACATGTACGTTCACTTATGAAGTTTCAGATTTGACACATTCACAGCAAATCATTCAAATTTCTCAACTTTGTGTTTTGCAGGAAAGCACCATTTGTTCACACCTACAGGCTTGTGCACGCCACTGACGGCTGGAGTCTGCAGGTCAGTGAACACACACAGACACACACACACACACACACACACACACACACACACACAGAGACACACAGAAGAATGTTTATGGTTTCCTGTGTGTGTGATTGGCAGGATTCAGGAGTCAGACTGCAGAATTTTAGGACTCTTGAAACACTGATAGAGGGCTACAGAAGGGCTGCAGCCTCTGATGTCAGTATAGCCCCCCTCACAGATCCACTGGTCAAAACACAGCTACAATACAGCAGCTTTGGAGGTATGACACACACACAAATTACAAAAGGGTTAGAAAAATAACCCTAAATGTGTGTTTTGATGTTTGTGGTGCATCAGTTAGTCCCATATTAGGTATGAAATGCTGTTCACTCAACTCAAACGCAGTTCCACTGTTGCCCTCCACAGAGTTTGTCTACATGGAAACGTGCAGCAGCAGCAGCTCTGTCTGTTGAGGCTGTGCCTGTAGCCTGGCAGACCAACACCGGTAATCAAAAACGATCACAGAAACAATTTCATATAGATATATTTCACCATGTACTCAAGAGACATTGTAAGCCACTGAAATGTTTTAACTTGGGTGTCTGAGTGAGTGTGGGAACGTGGGTTGTTCGTAAAAAAAATAGGTGCTGTGCAAATTTATCACACACTATGTCTGTTACTGCGGTTTCTTTTTGCCAGACCTATGTCCCACCGTGTGTTATTGTTTGTGAGGTACACACCACGATGTCTTCAATGAAGTCTCCAGTTGCTGTGTGTATTTTGATGTTTTGTGTCATAAAAGAAATATATTTTTACATAGTTGTGGCCCTGTATTGAAATGGTGTTGTTTTTTGTTTTTTTTTTCTACAAACACAAAGATACCGAGTAAATGTGTTTTTGTGTTTTATATCTGTTTGGGGAATCACACTTGAGTACAGTGATATGTGTGGTTAGTCTTTTATCTTATCTGAAGCCACAGTAGCAACACAGGAAACGTAGCAATGCGTATCATAAAATCGATTGTGGGCACACACTCATTTCATCATGTGACTTTATTTATTTTTTGAAACATGAAGTTCTTCTGACTGACGGTATCTAGTCTTCAAGATGAGTCCCAACAAACTTTGATCTGGTATCAAATGAAAAAAAAATTTAAACCGTGCTCCTCAAAATATATAGCCATGTGTCCGCTGGTCTGGCCAGTTTTCAGTTTTAGCTTCATTTTAGGCTTAGTCATTGTTACCGTCAATCTGTCAGACTGAAACACAGTGTTTCTTCTTTCCTGATAGTTCCTCTTAGCTGCTAAACTGTCAGCATAAATGACTTTGTAGTAAATGTCAGACTTATCGTATTTTGACAGAAGTTGCACTTACTGCTTCCCCTTAAATATGTCATTGTTTTTTTTGTCAGTCTAAAGTATCTGCAAAGTATACCAGTCAACATGTGCAAAGTGCACTGCGATAATAAACAACTTTGGTGTGTGGCTGTAGCCCTCATAGGAAGTGTCATTTTTACCATAGCACATTGTACCCCACAATGATATGGTTTCTGTCAGAGCACAGCAACAATAGAGCTTCATCTTTACTTCAGCTCACTGCTGCTGCGGTCCTGTTCATGTTGTCCTGTTGTGTTATAGATAATATCTGCTGCTCTGGCCATGAACATTGCATTGTGCTTTCTTAATGGCAATGTATTTCATTGTGAATTGATGTGATCTGTGTTTAATATCTCCAGTCTGTGTTTTCAGAGTCAGTTATTAAACTGGACTTGAATAGAGTTGGCTTAATGAAACAACTTCTTAATCACAATGTAACAGCCGAAATTGTGAAATGTGCATTTAAGAGACTGTGTTGCCTAGATACGAGAGAAGCGTCAACAGACAGCACCTAACCTGTCTTGAGTTTGTTGAGCGGTACACCTACTGTGAATGGATGCCTGGTGCTGAGCTCCTGTTTGGACTACGTGTGGCCTCAGTTTTGTTCATGTCTGATAAAATAGCTGTACAACAGGGCTTGATCAGGTTGATGTGTTAGAAATAAACAACGAGCATTGTGGAAACCCCAGTACCAGTGTGGCTGTGAGTTTATGTCTGTCGCCTTTCTCCACTCTCTTCAAGCTAACATTAGCTCAACCAAGAAACACGGACACAAACAGTTACAACGTGTTGAGGAATTTATAGAAAAAACAACAAAAGCTAAACTTTTTTATGACACAATTTTTTCTTTCTTGTGTAGTCAGGAAACAAGTGGTTCAGCCTTCTTATCCCTCTTGGACTATTGTGATATTGAATGCTTATGGCAGCATTTGCACTTCAGTCTTTTAATATTATAAGGTCCATGGGACTCATAATAGCAGATAGCTTTAAAACTCATCCCTGTGACCTATTTAAGAGTGTAGGTTGGCCCTGTATGACTGTCACAAGAGACTTGCATACTTCTAACTGCTTATATAGCTTGCATCTCTGTACAGACAAACTCTGATTTAGGAACTGCAGTTGGATCACTGGACCTTTTTGTCAGACATAGTCCCCCACTGACTCATCCCTTCATCTGCAGCAGTGTAGACCTGTACAGGAATATTTCAATACTAAGCTTAGTATAAAGACTGCAAAAAGGGGGGAACAGCTTTGGGTCTGTGCAAAGGTGACAAAATCCACCGACCAGCACCTCTAAAGCTCACATCATATCTTGTTTGTTTGATCTATACAGAGAAATGTAGCGTAAAAGTGACAATTTGCCTCTTTCGTTGTAGTTTTGTGCCACCTTTGTTTGGATGTAACCAACGTTAATTAATGGTTGAGCTTTAGAAGTGCTAGTAGGTGATTTTTGTTCCTGTTGGACAGAGCCAGGCTAGTCTTTGGGCTAATATAAGCTAACCAGCTGCTGGCTGTGACCTCACGAGAGTGGTGTCAGTGTTCTTATCTGACTCTCTGCTGGAAAACGAATAAGCATACCACCCAGACCTTGAACTTTTGCTTTTGAGGTTATCTATTGTTTACCTTTACTTTCATGCTGGTTGGATTTTATGCTTTAGTTTTGAATTTTTGTCATTTCTTGTGTCTAAATGTTGAAGTTTGGTTTTGCTGTTATTGTACTGTGTGCACAGGGCTCCCATAAAGAGCGTGACCTGCTGGCATTGGACCACTGTGTAAAAACAAGTGCTGAATAAATGAATTTGACTGATTCAATGAGCAGATAATAACATATTGTATCACTCAAACTTATTTGACACACAAAAAGGTATACATATTTAGTAGAGGCACTAGATAGATATACATTTTAGGACAAGCTAACCGGCTAGTTCAGGCAGAAAAAATATTTAATTAAAACTCATCTATGCATGTCCCTTTGGTTTACATAAAAAAAGAATACTAAAACTAACATTTCACATTTCATGTTACATAAACAAGCATTACATGATGTCCTAAAATATAAAACTACAATTTACACACAAACACACCTATATACACTTTGCATACATTCAACACATTTCTGCTAGTTTCTGAATGGAAATTTAGTATGAAAATGGGTGCAATTTTGCATTTAAGATGTCTTTCCAGGGTCTTGTTCTGTGTCCTCCACCTCTGTGATCTCCTCCACAGGTTCAGCTGCTGGGGCAGGATAAAAGAACTGGAGACGCAGAACAAAAACACACTAAAACTTTGCCACCATTTGTATACAAGTAATTATAACTACTAACCCAACTAACTTGGGTTATTTCTAACCTAGTAGTTTTAAGAGTGTAGGTCAATGTTAAAGTGTGTGTGTGTGTGTGTGTGTGTGTGTGTGTGTGTGTGTGTGTGTGTGTGTGTGTGAGAGAGAGAGAGAGAGAGAGAGACAGAGAGAGAGAGTGAGAGAGAAACACACAGACAGACAGACAGAGTACAGAATGGACATGTACTTACATTGGAAGCGTCATTTTTTTCCAGAAAATATATGTACTTTGGCGGGGGGCGAGGAATTGGAGGAAACAGAACCTTAGACACCCTGAAACAAGCACACGCACAATAATCCTTAAACAAGAATGTCAATAGTACTTTTATTTTGCTGCCATTTCCATAGAAAATGTTATAATTTTTATATGTATTATGTTTTAAAGCAAAAATGAGAAACTTCCAAAGAAAGAAGAACAAAAGTGCACCCATCCCTTATGTTCTTTTGCATTTCTTTCATTTTGTGTTTTTTTCCTGTTGGCTATTTTAGAGTTCAAACAGGGGGTTTCTGTCCGCACCTTAAGGAAGTTCAGGGTGGATGTTTTGCGGTGACATTTCAGAGAAAACACTCCAACCTCTCATAAACTCCTCTCACTTCTCTTTTCTGCACTCGGTCTTTTCATGCGGGGTCATCTTAAAACAGTTTTTGTTTTCAGTTTAGCAACAGTTCGCAGAGGCGGAAAAAAAAATAAAATAGATGTGAAGACAGGTAGCAAGACTGTGAAGGAGGTGTGTATGTGTGAATGGTTGTACGCAGTATTGGGTAGTTTGATGACTTTAACTGTACTGATCAACTAACTGCTCCTACTGTTTGATTATAGTTCATCATTGTTCACATTACTTGCTTACATTTTTAATTACGTCTTTAAATTATGGAAGCATTACAAATTGTGAACCTGGGTTCCCGGTTAGCTCAGTCAGTAGAGCTGGTAACCCATATATGGAGTTGCTGCAGTGGCTGGTGCTCAAATCCGACCTACAGCCCTTTGCTGCGTGTCATCCCCTCTCTCTCTCTCTACCAACCTTTCCTGTCTATCTTCAGCTGTCCTGTCTGATAAAGCCATGAAAAGGCCAAAAAAATAACTTAAAAAAAAATAATAATTGTGAACCTTTTTTTCGTTATATCTTCTATTAACTCTCTGGGCTCTATAGATCTCGATAGGGGAACGGGGTAAATCCCCACTTTGCCATATGCTAATGTGTTTATTTATTTGTGGCTCTGTCCGTTTCTTTAGTACAAAGCGTAATGTGTTAAAAAGGATTCAGTTTAAATAACAGTTTTTGTAATACAATGGATTATGTTACCAATTGCAAAAATTGTCATGTAATTTGTATTTGTGTGTCTGACCCAACACTGAGCACATGTGAGTGTGTGTGAGTCACACATCAGTTAACAGGTTAGTCATTCAGTTAGAGACAGAAACAGTACCTTTGATAGCGCACCAACAGAAGCACGGCCAGGAGGATCATGGGTATTCCAAGTGAAATTGAGAGGATCACCAGAGTGTTCAGATAGTAAAAGGGCTGTTCCAGCGCTACAAACAGACACACATGTAATTAAAAGATAATGATCAAATAGACCTAGTGTCCCGACATCAACCAATCAACCAGTGGATGGAGATGACAAACAATCAGCAGCCTTTGGTTAAACCACAATTTGAGGTGACTTTAACAAACAGCACTCACTGACAATGGGACTCCAGTTGCTCCATTGAGGGTTTGATTGGCATGTATTTGTCACTCTTGTCCTCATCCTTACTCTGTAGGTGTGGCTGGGATCTGCATTCGGCTCTGTATAATGCAGCTGGTCGACCAAGTTTTTCAGGTTTTCCTGTTTTTAAAACATAGAAATATAGGACTTATGGTTGCTTTTTTAATAATACTTAATGTTGTATGTCTGGAATAATCAACATCCATATACTGACATACTGTACCTGGTCACCCAATTCCAGCTGGTATTCAAAGCAGTCGCTGTTAGTGGTTACTTGACTGTGGGGCAGAGCCCATGTCACCAACAGGTTTCCATCTTTGATTGATACAGAGATGTTTTGAGGTGGCAGCAGGACCTCTGTGACACACACAACCACATAATTAGTCAAATAATTGATATTGATTCATTTATTTATTTTATTTCATTTATAAGGCCTGCCTCTACAGTGTCTGATTTAAACACTGTTGTGAGTTACCCATTAGTGCCGCTCCTACGGTTAAAAAAGGATACATCTGGATTCCATGCTTCAAAAAACATTTGACCTCTTACAGTTTAATAATCTGAATAGACTGCTTAGACCCCATTTCTACCATGTATACCATGTAACCTCCCCCAAGGGGCTCTGAAACAATCACATTTTGTACAGTTGACATAATCCATAGACAATCTGTTATACATTTGTTTAATAAATGATTGCTGAAATTACATATCTATTTATCCACTGTTAAGAGCTACATGGATAGAGTCAAAATAAAGTGCTACCTAGTCCATTATTTAAACATTGAAGACCATCTGTGGTATTATCATTTGCAAATACTCCACAATAGCTCAGTGACTGTTTGACCTGGAGTAGTACCTAGCATGTCCTCGCTGTATGTGTAGGTGTAGACTGTCCACTTGTCGTGCAGGGTTATGTTAAATTGGAGGATTACATGAAATATTTCATGCTCATGCACAATCAGAGATCTTGATCCAACTCTTTCCTCAGATGGATTGGTCATAAAGTGAACTGTGGATTCATTCACACAGATTCTGTGCATAGAGACAGAGAAAGAGATACACACTTACACACTGAAAACCATTCTGACATACCTGTATTGTTAATATCAGGGATGCATATATATATATATATATATATATATATATATATATATATATATTAGGGCCGATAACTTATCAGTCAATAATCATAAATGCTCATCAAAGCTAAGTGAGTAATGCATAATGTAAAAAATACCTGATATAGACAAAGAGCTGAGTATCTTTCTGTAAAGTATTAAATGACCAGGAGCAGTTGAGTTCATTTGTTGGGTAAAGGAGGCAGAGGAAGTTTTCTTTATTCATCGCTTCCCTTTCTACGTAATGATCCTTCTCTGGAAACAGTATCTGAAAGAGTTATTAAAAGATATATCTGTATTTAAGCATCAAGCTTTTACTGTGCCTATGTGGACAGTTAAAAACAAGGTTTTTCGTTCTTACCTCATCTGGGATCACCTCATCCATACAGACATCATAATTGTCTTCCAGCTCTGTTAAAAGAGAAAATATGCAGTTATAGTAAGAGGGAAAACCCAATTAAAATGGATATTAGCAGTGGATCATCAAGTTATAGCTTTAAGAGTGCACACATACAGTAGCAATGTGCAGACAGTCTATCAAAATTAAACAGGTCGCACTTCTGCAGTACACCATGCTTAATTCACAGACGTTTTGGGGTGTTTAGTCTATTTGTAGGATTTAGTGGCCTTTAGTTGTGTAGTTGCTGGTTGCAACACCATCGCCTCACCCTCCTGTTCCAAGCATGTAGGAGATACTACGTTGGAAACTCAGGAAAGACATGAAAGGACCAGTGTTTGGTTTGTCCTCTACCAGACTACTGTAGAAACACGGAGGTTTAATGTAGCAGACTCCATAGAAGATGACCAACTCCCTGAGTAGATAAACATGGCTTATTTTAGGTGATTATACACTAATGAAAACACACACAATATTATATTTTCTTCTAAATGTTACACACTGGACCTCTAATTGGGGTGGGAGAGGAAGCCGGTTTCCTGGAAGGGTGTATACAAGGAAACAAATTGTCACACCACCCTGATGAAGGCAAGATAGCTAAAAATGTTGTGTGAATTAACCATGGTGTGCTATAGAAGAGCTGTGTTTACTCTGACAGCCATCACTTATATTCACACTGTCTCTATGTGTGAATTGTCTGTAATGTCTAAACTTACTCACCGCTTTGTGAGGCATACAATACCAGCAAACTGGACCAAAGTATTGAATGGACAGGAAACAGCTTCATTGTATGCCTAGCGGTTTTACACACACACACACACACACACACACACACACACACACACACACACACATACATAAACACACACTAGTGCAGGTACGTACAGTTGTATCAGTCCACAGTGAGTAATTTCCTGGATGTTTGAACTTCCCCTTTTAAAATTCTTAGATTTAGAGACTAACAGTAAGATGTCTCAATGGGATACAATGAAACACAAACAGCTTTCTTCACATGAGCGTTAACTCTCTTCCCATTTACAGTTAATTGTGAGTTTTAATAGCATAAACATTTCCACTTCCTACAAAAGCTTTTACATTTTCAACAGAAGAAGAAAGAATAAGTTACCGGTGTTTTGTTTACACACTCAGCTATAGCTTTGTCTCTCAAAAGTGATAAATGGACATTCCCATGATTATTCTAGGGGTACGCTTTCTTATGAATATCATCTATCACATAATCCTCCTAGAGTATATATTATAATATCATTATTGTAAAATAGTATAACGAGAAGCCCTTACCGCCTGCCGTCCCTTCACTCTGGCTTTCTGAGACAATGACACATTTCTGGGGAAAGAAGAAGTATGACGTCACATACTGTACAGAGTCTCAGGAAACCACAAGTTTCTTTCTGTTTCTTTATTATTATTCTCTCATACAAACACTGCAAAATTTAAAGATTTTACACCCTGACTTTTCTGGTTAAGTAAGGGATAATGTCCGATGTGGTGTCCATTATCAGGAATTAATGGACTAGGTGGAGGCTCAAAAGGCTAAAAAATGTGCCTTTATTGATCCCCTGTAGGAGAAATTCAAATTAGACACAGCGGCATAGGGGAATGTAATGCAAGTTATAAAAATTTAAGAAGTGTAAAAGTACAATAAAGAATCACAAACTAAGAATATTATAACATATAATAGAAAATATAATTAAAAATATGCACACTATATGCAGTACAATGGTGTGCAAAATATTATGACTATTATTATGACTACAAAAACTAAACTGTACATGTGCAATTTAAATAAAATAGTTTGTGCAAATAGTTTGTGCGTCGTAGGCTGAAAGTCAAACCAGTCTTAATCAGTAGGGGTTGGAGGTCCTGGGTGCTGTGGCGTTGCGGAGTCTGATGGCTGATGGTACAAACTGGATCTGGGCCTGGATCAGTCTGCGGCTAAGGTGCTCCTGAGCTGCCTGAGCTCAGTGTAGGGAGGATGAGAGGGGTTGTCCATGATGGCTTCGGGCTTCCCCTTCATCCTCTTCTCAGTCACAGCCTCTACGCTGTCCATCCCCACCACCGAGCTGGCCTTCTTCACCAGCTTGCTCAGCTTGTTGGCACCATAAATCCCAATGCCTCCTCCCCAGCACACCACAGAAATGAAGATGACACTGGCCACTACAGACTGGTAGAACATCCGTAGTAGCCAAGTGCACACGTCGAGGGACCTGAGCATAATCAGAAAGAACAGCCTGCTCTGTCCTTTCCTGTAGAGGGGCCCATGTCCCATACCATAAGTTACAGAAACGTTTTTTAAAGTTACCAACAATAAATACATTAGTTTTTTCCTGTGACACTCATTTCAGCCAAGCGGTTGACAGATTGCACTCCTGAGGTATTAACTATATTCAGAGCTACTGAAAGAGTTTGCAGTGACTGGATGACAATATTCTTTGCAGTGACTCAGGTCATCCATTTGAGAAAATCTATCCAGAGGGGACTGATAAACCACAATGAGAAACACAATGGAAATAAATGATCCTTTATTGTGTTGTTCACTAATGAATATGAGTATGTATTTGTTATGGGTGGTATATTTGACATGAAATATATATATATATATTTCATGTCAAATAAATAAGATAAAATCAAACACGAGCATTGAAGGCTGTGTGGGCTAACAATGCAATAAAGTTCAGAAATAAACTCGCACCGCAAACTACAACCGTCGATGCATCATAAAGACTGCAGCTGATCTGGTATAAAAGCAAGTTCCCTGACCGGGAATCGAACCCGGGCCGCGGCGGTGAGAGCGCCGAATCCTAACCACTAGACCACCAGGGAAAGCTGTAAATTGCAGTAGAATATTCTAATTATTATATCATAAATACGATGTAAACATATCCCTGAGTCCATACGTGTAACTTTTATTTCTGTGTCTTCTATAAACCTCACCGTTGCTTAGCTTCTTTGCGTACGTCGCGCCAATAAGGACTAGACCAATCACTGCCCCCTGTGGCCGATGGTGGGACAACACCAACAGCAATGACAAACTCTTCCACTAGGTGGTGGCCACGCATCACGCTTATGCTTCTTCCGTCTCTTTTGTCTTTCACTTCATCCTACTCCAGCTTTCACTTGTTACTCTATGGACTTCTTGCACATCGCACGATAAAGCCGAAGCACATGAGTTCAGAATTAAATGGTCTACACACTCATCTCAGGTTGGGAGCAAAGTCATCTCTGACTACCGAGCTTTATAACGAAAGCAGCTACAGTTATTACGGCACAACAACGAGGAATTCAAGGTAACGTTACAGACCCCCTAAAGGACACTTGGAGCAGAGACTTGCTGGCACTAAGTTACCAAAGCTTTATGTAATCACCACTGTATTGTTTTATTGTGTATAAACCATAGTAGTTAACACAGTTAACTTACGGTACCCTCAGTTTACCATAGAAAATTATAAAGTTAGCCAGGTTAAGTTCTGACTGCAATTGAATGACCGGAGTTAGCTTGAATTCCAAATAGCTAGTTAATAACACTTTAATTCCTTCTGAAGACTAACAAAGTAACGCTTGTTACTGTATTTAGCATTAAACTTATGTTGCTTTATTGTCTCTCATGAGTGAAGTACAACGTAAGTACTTACACTGTACAAGAGGATAATGGCTCTTCAGTGCTAAAGCAATGCTACTACAGTATGCACAGTTAGACTCTATAAACCAAAAACCCCAGTGTGGTGACTGGTGTACCTCACTATGAGCAGAAGAGCAACATGTCCAGTCCTCCTCATCTTCTAATCCTCTTCTACTTGTCTCTATATCTCTGTCAGATTCAGTATGGCAGCCAGAGACACAGTGAGACGTAATAAAACTGCCATACAGATGACTTTGTCTGCAGACCGCATACTAATCCTCAACAAAGTTCATGAGAAGGACCTGATAACAAGACGCGAGTACATCAACCTTAAAAGCATCAACAAAGAAGACGTAGAGGGTCACGTCATTGAGCTTGTGGATAAGATCATGAATAAAGGAGAGGACACCTGCCAAGCCTTCCTCGACCTCCTGCAAACTGATGATGAGATTAAAACCACTTACCCTGAACTGCAGAGCCTACAGTTGAACAACATTAACTTCTTACCTAAACCTGTCCAAGCTTCTTCAGTTGACAACAGCGGTATGTTAACAGATGTAATTTTGGTGAAAAAGATTTCCGTCTCTAGTATTCCTCATATACCAGCTTACAGTCTATTTTCCCACGATGTTGAGTTTTGTGTTTGGAGGTGTAAATCTGTTTCACTCTGATTTCCTCAGATGTCCCGTCACAAGAGAGCAAGAGGCGAAAGAAGGTGAGTCTTTACTTCATATTGAAACAGCACACTATATGATTTTAGTTAGGCTTTGTTAAAGAGACACAACAAGAGGGTTTTAAACCTTTTACCTCAAAGCCTGCAGACACATGCTTATTAGCCTGTATTTATATATAGAACATTAGCTTTGTAATACTGTCATATGTAAGGAAATTTAAACTAGTAAAGACAAGTAAAGCTGTTCTGTGTTAGTAAAAGTGTTGGAGCATAAAATATTGAAATGCATGTTTTCATTGTTTCCAGGATGAGGAGTACCAATTGAACAGCCAGCCTACCGGACTCTGTGTAATCATAAACAACCAAAATTTCACAGATATGAAACAGAGAAGTGGAACCTACAGAGATGCTCGTATGTTACAGAACAGGCAGATTCACAGGTTTACCTGATTGTCTTGTTTGTTGGTCGTTGAAACGTAACTAAGTTTTGTTACATTTCCTGCAGAAAGTTTGGCAGAGGTTTTCAGCGAGCTGGGGTTCAGAGTGCTGATGTGTGAAGATCAAACCAAACACCAGATGGATCAGGCGCTGCGTTACTTTGCTTCTCTGAGCGACCTCTCTGAGCTGCAGGAGTTCAGGGTTGAGGAGTGGTCCGGCAACGGGTTCACTGATCTTCAGGAGGCTCCTAAACATGGGGACGCCTTCATCTGCTGTATTCTCAGTCATGGAAAAAAGGGTGTAGTCTTAGGGGTTGATGGGAATCCCCTCTCCATTAAACAAATAACGAGAACCTTCACGGCAACCGACCAGTCGGCCCTCACCGGCAAGCCCAAGGTGTTCCTGATACAGGCCTGCCAGGGAGGGCAGATTCAGAAGGGAGTGTTATTAGAAGATCTGCAGGCTGATGATTCTCATTCACAATTCATCCCTGAGGAAGCCGATGTTCTGGTAGCCATTGCCACTGTTGAAGACTATGCGGCATTTAGACACTCAATAAATGGGAGCTGGTTTGTCCAATCTGTGTGTCAGCAGCTGAAGGAGGGCTGTCCGAGGTAAATATCACACTCACCATGCAGTGTGTACTGTACTCTGTTTTGAATCATAATATAGGCGCAGTAATCTGTTTTTCAACACTGTATTTTATTTTAGGGGTGACGACATGACCACCATCCTCCACCGCGTGAACAATGATGTAGCCCAGAAAGAAGGGTCCAGTCAGCCGGGTGCATTAAAGCAGATGCCTGAAGTGAGGTTCACTCTGAGGAAGAGACTTGTGTTACCACATCGTAACTGAAGCTCAGTCAACAGAAATCATGTAAATACAGTATGCTTTATGTCTTAATTAAGAATGTATAATTAGGTCAGGGGAAGGGTTTTTTCTTAAAAATGTACTCTATCTTTTTTATCACTTGAAATCTTTTATTTTTAAAATCATCACCTCGAATCATTGTCTTTTATATTGTCACAGATTTTTGTATCAGAATAAACCCCCTTTATGATCACTGATGGGTCCATGTGTATGGAGTTACACTACTTCATCAGAACCTTTTACACACAGAAGCCCTGAATGCAGAATACTGCTGATATTTGTATTGCCTCCTTATCAATGCATATTTTGTATCTAAAACTGTTCCTAAAACACTTTTTAACACGTTATTTTTATGGGAACCAATAACTGCGTGTTAAAAAGTAATTGTATCGGGTTATTGCTGTTTTGAACTCTGAACTAAATATACATTAACGATTTTAAAACGGGTTCAAACAATGAACAGGATTTATTTGTGTGCACTATGCGTTGGTGGGAGCTTGCTTCCAGATTCGTCTGCGCACACACAACCACTGTTACGGTACTGCAGCGTCGTTGCTATGACAACGTCTTTTTTCCGTGTCGGAAAAGGGGCTGCAGAACAGCAAAAGGACTGCTAGCCTGGAAAATGACATAAACAACCTGTCGGCCACAACTGAAGTCTGTCTCATAACGCTGTTACAGCAACGGAAGCGCGTATTTTCACTACCGGGAGTATCTGCCGTTAAATAAAGGCAGCGTTAACGATGGAAGCCCCGCTGGAAAACAAGACTCCTGCCGGTGCCTTAGAGGATATTGAAGGAGCCGGACACGGAGAAGAGCTGAAAACCTCTGAAGAAGCGATCACATTCATGTCCAGCATCGGTGAGTTGTCAGTGTGTTTTCTGGAGAGTTGGCACCACCTGGTTGTGGCACATCTTGAGTTGCCACACACACACACACACACACACACATACAAACTATATATATATACATAGAATTGACAAAGGAAGCAGAGTGTTTACTTCATGTCAGCATTTTAAATAGAAAACGAGCTTTATGAAACTGTCCATTGTGGCTCATGTCCAAACGTAAGTCTCCCCCACTTGTCTCAGAGCCTGCAGAGCTGCAGAGGTGTGTGTTTCCAGACTCTCTGGTGACTGTGTCAGAGGGAGGCCGAGACCTGGGGAAGTTCAGTGTGACGGTGGAGTTTGCCCGGAGAGGCCAGCAGCCCTGTGTGCTGCTCCATGCTCAGAGCCAGGGAGCCATTGATGACTCCCCCTGTGGAACAACAGTGACAGGTGAGGCCAGGGGGGCTACAAATACAGATTGAGGTTTTATCCATTTACAGATGTTTCAGTATTTTTATGTCCTTTGTCCATTTAAGCCTACCTAACCACGGAGCTGGAGGTGCTGGAGGAAGATTACCATGAGTATGTCAAGGTGAGTCATTGCAAGCTTCCTATACTGTCCAATTTTAACGCACAAGGATCAGCTGTTGCGCTCAGTGAGTGTTTTGCATTCCCTGTCTTATAACACATTTGAATCCCTTTTCAGCTCGAGGGCCACAGTTTGGACAAGAGGTGTCACATGGTGCAGCGTGACGGGCAGATGGTGATCGATAGAGTTACCATTGCAGGAGAGGTGAGAGAAGAAACAATAGTTTTTCATTATATCATTTTATATAATTTTTATATAAATGTGATACACCACCATTCATTCAATTCTTGCTTGGAGATGATCAACAAACCACCTCTTGTCTTGTGAAATTACTGTAAGGTGTGATCCTCTTTTGTTTGTGCACAGGACGTGACGAAGGAGAGCGTTTCCCATCCCATGTCTGTCCTAAGAGGGCTGGTAACTGAGGGTTCCAACCTGCTGCTGATGCGCCTGATCGCTCTTAAGAAGGAGGTGCCAGAACACATGACTTTCATCTCCCTCGACCAGGGATTAAACATTATCCACACCACTTTTGTAAGTATGTATGCCAGAATGACCGCTGACGCTGATTCTGTGTGGTGTTGTTGAACTCTGATTGTGTGTTTCTGTGTGGTCAGAGTGAGCTGGGTCTAAAGCAGCTGGAGATTGGGGCTGAGACAGTGGAGGTGTTTGGAGTGGAGAGGACTGTTCACTCTGTGGAGGACAGTCCCACTTCCTGGCAGTGCTACTTCCTGGCTGATGGGTAAGCTCAATGACTACACCTCTTCAGGTTGTTGCACGTATTGGACAGTCTCACTGTCTCACACTGTCACAGGGTGTGACCGTTGATTTTACACTTTTACAGCTCCTTAAAGGTCCAGTGTGTAACATTTAGCAGGCTCTATTAGCAAAAATGGAACATAATATTCATAGGTATGTTTTCATTAGCCTGAAAATAAGAATTGCTTTTTTTTTTGCCACAACATTCTTAAGTAAGGTCCAAAAACTGTTCCTAAATCTGTTTAAGTAAATTATTAACATGGCCTAGAGAAATAATAACTTTAGACTACATTAAAACCCATAACTATAATATAACTACATAAGTCTTGTGAATAAAATGTTAATATTGTGTGATAGATTTTTTTGATCAGTTTATGTTCTCTGATCAGGCACTTGGCCACCAGAATGCAGGTAGGATCACCGGTCACCATGAGACTTCTGCAGCTGCCATCACACCTGGAAAAAGGTAACACTATACCCACACACATAAAACTGTTCGTCTAAAAAAAAGTCAGTTATGTTGTTTTCACAGTGTGTGTGTGTTGTGTGTGTCTGTGTGTGTGTGTGTGTGTGTGTGTGTGTGTGTGTGTGTGTGTGTGTGTGTGTGTGTGTATGTTAGGTTTTGAGAAGATCCCCCTGGTCTGGGAAGAAGACATGCAGATGCGCTCCCAGTTCTTGGACAGAAAGGTAACCAACAATGTTCTCATGTGATAAAGACAGTGGCCTAAGATTTGAATAATTTACCTGAATTACCTGAATAATACTGTTTCCTTATACAGATATCACATTCCCCATAAATCCTTTGAACAGGTAAAAATATGAATGTGTGTTTATGTCTCTGTGGGACAGGAGGAGCTGAAGGGGGATCATGCCTCCTACCTGAGACAGCATCCAGAGATCCGTGCCCTTATATCTGACTTCTTGCAGTTCTTGCTGCTAAGGAAACCAGATGACATCTTCCCGTTTGCCAGAGAGTACTTTCTCCCTTTTGCCTCCCACCGTCCTCCAGAGCCAAGCCTGAAAGCCCCCTCACTCTGAAAGCACACCAGAGGGAGGAACCATGCTTAAATCAGCCTTTTTTTTAAATAACTTTCTGTTGTTGTTTATCAGTTTAACTGGAGATTAAATTTTTAATTTGTATTTGGCTTGTTCTGTTTGTGTGAGTGACAGGTAATTAGTATATGAATAAAGTTGTTTGTTTCAAACTGTGCTTGTAGCTTCGTTTTGTTACCCTATCAGTCTTGTCTGGGCGAGGCAGATGTCTGAGCAGTGAGGTTTGTTGACCTAAACTAGGAAGAAGCGAGTCTGTCTTCAAAATAAATAAAAATATAAATAATAAAAAGGTTATATAATAGATAGACATGTTACAGCCTTCTCTAAATGATACATTTGGAGATGTAAGAACATAGGCTGCTATGAATATCTCGGCAGTAATATTCCAAATCCCTCTGTGTCTTCATTGTTTACTCTCATGGCTTTTATTTTGAAGGTTGTAAGCGGAAGCAACAACCCTAAAAAGTGTCTCTCTTCCTCTGAAAGTGAAAGCAGCGGGAGCTATGTGAAGGAGTGTCGGCAAAATAACAACCGCAACCACTAAAACCTAATTGTTAGCTCTCAGAAAGGAGGTTTTACTGAAGTTTATTAGATATTTTCGCTTGTTGGACGTAAGTTGAACTCGGTAAGTTTCAACATCGTAAGATGACGCACTTTCTACAGTCTGTGCCTGCTGTGACCTAACGTTACTTATGTAAAGTCTATGGAGAAACCCAAACTGTAACCTGTTGGCAGTAATGTATAACTAACTTATAAAAACTGACTTGATATTACTTTAGTGGTGCCGCTCGGTCTTGAGTCCAAAACTTTTTCGTTGTCTATCTGATGGACTTTTCTGTGAGGCCACCGCAGCGTGTTATTGAATATTAACACCGTCCTGTAGGACTACTATAATGTAATAATATTTATTTGTATGTCTTATATAATAAATCTTATGTATATGGCACAAAATGGCAAAAAACTTTAGTGCAAAAGTTAAAATCAAGAAGAAAAACAAGGAAAGAGGCAGTAATACAATACAACTGTACCGCACAAGTACACATGCACATGTTTGATATTAACTATCAATGGTCAACAAAATACTACGTCACAGTTGAGGTGCCCTCAACACCCTCTATACAGGTTCCTGTATAAACTGTATATCATTATAATCTGGGGCCAGGTCATAAGGCACTTTAAGAGTATACAGTGATCTTACTGTACTGTCTCATATGTTTATCATCTGTGTGGTAAATTAATATTTATTTGATATTCAGCCACATCAAGTATAGAAGTGGTATAGTGTGATTGTGTACTGTTTTTGTACTGTATGCTTTTGCATAGTTTCTTTTGTCAAAGCTAGTTTATCACGATTATTATACAAATTATATTCTTTCTCTGGCTTCATTTTAGTGTCCCTAACAAGTGCAAACCTTTTCTTTTGACCCTCTCTTTGTTTCTATTGTTTCTGCCTCTGATATCACCTGATAGCCGAGCGCAGTGAGCAGAGCACCAGGCCTGTGCTGGTGGGATTGGTACTGTGATGGACAGACTGACGTTGGCCCACATTGATGAGGAGCTGGAGTCCTCTGAGGTGGACGCTCTCCGCTTCTTGTGTCAGGGTCTTGTCAAAAGGAAACGCCTGGAGGGGGTGAGTACTACATAGCTCATCTGCTTTTGTTTGGCCTTAACTCACACAATGAGAATAAGTATTCTTTACCAAAGCCACGGCTGCCACGGGCCTGGAAAGTACTTAAAAGTTCTTGGATTAAGGGAAAATATAAAAAAGGAAGAACTTGAGCTTTCTGAGTTTGAGCCTTGTGTGCTCTGTTATCTTAAAATTCACCCCCTGATAACATTAGTATCCATCTGGAGCGCTGGGCCGAGCTTGATACACTTTCTCCTTATCACTCTCCACGTAGCTACAAGCATACAACATTCAGCTGCTGTTCTGTGTCAGAAAAGGGTGGCTTAGCTGCTGGGTTAGACTGGTCTATGTGAACATCTACATCAATTCAATTCACAAAGTGCTCCAAAAACTATAAGAACTGAGGCAGTATCTAAAGGAAACAAGGGGGAATTGGCAAAAGGCAAAAGTAGAAAAAAAACACTTACTTATCAAACTTACACATATCAAAGTGCTGCCGTTGAAATAGGCCTTAAGGGTCATTATTTCATATTTGTGACTTATTTCTTTACTATCAAACAGCACTTCCTTTCTTTTAACTCAAAATACTTTTTTGGATGGCAAAACGTAGTCAGAGTCTATGATGGAGATGTGTTTTATAGACAGTATTTCTCTCCCATTGTTAACATTCTCGGCATCTTGCTTCCTTTCAAGGTTTGTCTTGTCACAGGTTTGATTGTGTATTTCTTGGTTGTTCTCATACAGGTCAAGGATGCAAAAGAGCTCTTTGTGAAACTTGAAGAAAGAGGTCTGTTGGAGAACCCTTACTTCCTTTATCAGCTGCTCCAAACTATCAGTAGAGCTGATCTCCTCAGCCTCCTGGAGACAGACAGCAGGCGGCCGGAAGAAACCGACGCAAATCTCATCCTGTCAGATTACAGGTGAAAGCAGAGAGAAATGTACTGTAACTGCAAGAGAAAACAGTGTGGCAAGAGTGTAATCCAATCAGTTTTATTCTCAAACTTTTAGTCATTTGCCTGTTGTTGTTGTCTGTCTTTCTCCTTTTCACTCTCCTGCTCTTTCTGTCAGGGTGATGCTGTACCAAATACATGAGGACATGACCAAAGAAAACTTAGACAAGATGAAGTTTCTGTTGAGCAGCAAGCTGGGCAAAAGACAAATTGAGACATGTAATGTAAGAATACTCACTTACCTTGCCACACCCATAGTTATATAAGAAATGATGACATGTAGACTTCACTCTTTTACTTTAGTAAAAGTATAATATACAACATTAGTTAAAAGTTGATAATTAAACTCTCTTCACTGTGATTAGCATACCAGTAGGATTTCACCATTTACTACTACTACTTTATTTTTTCCCAACTGCTACATTAACCTGCAGCTTAGGTATGTATATCTTTCATATTTTGAAAATTGACAAGGGTGTATCAAACAAACTAAACCATGTTTAGTTTGGTAAATAATTTAATGCTTTTATAATGAAATGTAAGTTTCATTATCCAAATAGGAACTGGGTTGTAGTTTGGTTATGATCACATAACGTATAAACCACTCACATGATGTAGGCACTCCCATGTCTTAACATACTGTACATACAACTTTAATGTTTCAAATTAAAATAGAATAGTGTACATTAATTTAACATGCATACTGGGTTTCAATAGGAATGTGCACCCAACGTTTGGCACATTGTATTGATAACTCTTCCAGACCTTTATTACTGCAACGGAAGTGTTGTCTACACCTACAATGCGGCTGTAAAGCCTCCACACACGGAGACAAACAAGTCTTCTCTGTTGATTGCAGACAGCCCTGGATGTGTTTGTTGAGATGGAAAAGGCGGGTTTACTGTCAGAGACAAAGCTTGATGAGCTGCATAAAATACTGCTGCAGCTGGATCAACAGCAGGCACTGACTGTACAGCGCTACATACAGAGTATGAGACACACACACACACACACACAAACACACACATACAGACATACATACCAGCTCATACAAACATATGTATATGGTGTATTATTATGAAATTCATCGTTGATATCAATGTACTCTTTCAGGGGGAACCCAGCAACCTCAAACTACATTACCATCTCATGTCAGCATGGATTACCAGGTGTGTGTGTGTGTGTGTGTACGTGTGTTAGATGTGTGTTTGTGTACAGTTCCTATAATGAGCCACTTTACTGAGGACTAAGACTCTGTTTTCTTCCCCCTCAGCCAACACAACCTGTTCTGTCCATATCTGAGACTCAGCACAACAGTAAGTCACTCTATTTCCCAGTATTACTCACTGACTCCATATTTATTTGAGCACACAGCTATTGAATAGTTACCCGTAAAGCCTAGGTAACAGTTTCAGAACCTCCCACCCCCTCCTCAATGTCAGATATCCACTCTCATGCTATTATTCTTTATTCTTTATCACACACATCCAAGGGATGTAAGTTTCTGCTGTCTTTGTCTTTGTTCTTCAGATGTCAGACTTAATGTTTGCTCCGATGCAGAACCAAACCCTGGGCCCTCACCTGTTTTTGATCAGGTAACCATTCACACAAACACACATGCTTCTCATCCATTCGTCTATTCATCAATTTATCAGAACGTTATCATTAACATAATCATGTTTATGATTTGTCTATGTGGATGTGCATGTACCTTTTAGAATGACTACTACATCCTGTCTCATAACCCTCGTGGTATGTGTGTGATTTTCAACAATGAGGACTTCCCGGGAACATCCCTGAACTATAGAGGAGGGTCTCAGCGGGATGAGAGTATGTACCCTTGTATTTCTTTAACCATGTGATCTGATTTGTTTATGTAACTGCATATTTATTAGTTAGCGAGCACCAATCAGGGTTCGGGATGCTCAGAGTTGATACTAATCACATATGATATGATGAAAAATTTAATCTACCAGTGTGCTTCAGTTTGTCTCTCTTGTATGTGACACAGAGACTTTGCACCAAGTGTTCGAAAAGCTTGGCTTCACTGTGGTGGTGCACAACAACTTGACTGCTGAAAGCATGCGAAGGGAGCTGGAAAAGCTGGGCAAAAAAAATTTTTTGGATGATGATGCCTTGGTGAGCAGTACCACACACCTTCAGAGCTCTAACAAAAGTTACTACTGTATATACTTTTTTTTTACTCCTTAAAAGAAAGAGTTGACATCTTAATTGTTAAATGAAAATGTCTATACCGCTCTCCATAAAAGAATGAGATGTCTTTCTATCTAACTGAACTTGTAGATCCAAATCTACAAGTTTTTGTGATTAACTGTAATTGCTTGCATATAAGTTCATCTCATGTTTAACTGCTTCTGATGTCTGATCTCAGGTGGTGTGCATGCTTTCCCATGGAAACAAGGGAAGTGTCTATGGGACTGATGCGCAGCAGGTGTTCTTGCAAGATGTGACAAAGCCCTTCACAAGCGGGCAAGCTCCCACCTTGGCAGGGAAGCCCAAACTGTTCTTCATCCAAGCATGTCAGGGAAGCCTCTACCAGAGAGGATATGTGCCATGTCCCCCAAGGCCAAGACAGGAGGAGGAGGACAGAGAGAGCCGTCTGGAGGAAGACGCAGGTCCTGTACATGGCGAGACGGTGCCTCATGATGCTGACTTCCTGCTGGGGATGGCCACTGTGCCAGAGTGCAAGTCGTTTCGAAACACTTCCACAGGCTCCATCTACATCCAGCAGCTGTGCCAGGAGCTTCTGAGGTCAGCTGAAAGGTGAGAGACACAGAGTTTAAGAAGATGCTTGTTGAGCTGTTTGTCCACCAGTCACAGTTTAGACAAAGCTTTGGCCAACCACAGTCTCTGTTGTGAAGATGAGCACTAAAATAGAAAATAAAATAGTTGTTTTTTTTTTTCAATAAAATCTGTCTTAAATAATGTACAATTATTAGAATAGAGCTTAGACTGCTGTTTGTTGATTTAAAAATGTTGAAATACACTTTGCTCGACCACACAGATATATAGTATTAATGCTTATAATATGCTTAAAATTATAGTATTCCCAAAGCATTACAAACAAGTCTATATTCAAAGGTAAAAGTAGGAACTACAGTGAGTTTACTTTCTGACATGATGGACCCATAACCTCAATAGAACACCATTATAATATGCAATTTGTGATAGCGATAATCTGACGTCTTTTCCAAATTAGGCAACATGATTAAAAAGAATACAGTAGGGGGCGCCCTGGTACCTGGTAGAGCTAGCGCCCCATGTACCAGGGCTGACCTTGTGGCCCTTTGCTGTGAGTCATCCCCCCTCTCTCTCCCCCTTTCCTGTCTATCTTCTGCTGTCCTGTCCAAGAAATGCAAAAACAATTAATACTGTAGATGTGGTTTTGCCATTTTCAAATGCTGTTGATGTGATATGTCAGAGGCCACGATGTTGTTGTTTTACAATTTGAGCAAGATTTATAATTTGTAATATGTTTCCAATGTTTTCTGTGCAGCTCGGAGCGGGATGATGATATACTCACTGTCCTGACACGTGTGAACAGGGAGGTCAGCAAAGGAGAATATTTAAATTACAAACAAATGCCTGAGCCTAAATACACCCTCACCAAGAAGCTCGTCCTCAAATTTGTGTGAGCTGACGGAGACCAAGTGCAACGCTGGCAATGTGCACAAATTTCCGGGTTCTAATAGACCATACTAATTTACTGAGTGTATGAGTGTGTGTGTCTTTTTTATCTTTGTAAGGTATAGCTGACTTTATGAATTTAAATGTAAGCGTCTTTGAAGTTGCCTTAAGAAGCTGATGTCTCCTAATCTTAAGAACAGAGAAGCATCATGTCTGTTTTGAATTGATGACCACTGGTGATACATGTGATATAGGAAAAATGAACAATAAGACATCATTTGGAACTTTTCTTTTTGTTACAATATTACAGATCACAGAGAAGCAGTTGCATGTACGCGAGTGATGAATGTCACCACTTATGTGACAAACCCTTCATCCACCTTTTTAAACTTATATAACACAATGAAATCAATGTGTAGGGCATATTATAATGATCAGTGTCAGGGTTTTTGTGGATAAAACACGTTTCTTTCTTTTTGTTTGTATAGGTGGTTGCATGGAGTCACAAGTATCCAAATCCTTTATCAAAGTAAAAGTAGCAACAATACTAAAATGTAAGACTACTCTGTCCTTCATTCGCATTCATCCATTATCTACATCCTCTAATCGTTTTAAAACCATGGATACAAGAGTAAAATGTAGTAAGTAGACCGGCCTTTCAGACTGTTAAATGATTGATGATTTGTATGTTATGTTTACATTTACAGTAAACTATTGTAATATTGATTGTGTCCAGATAACCAACCACTTTATCATAGAGTTGGACTTATCTAGTTTTGAATCTTTATATAATATACATTTGGGCTGTCAGATGAATGTATGAGAATAAACAAATTCATTTTAACTCCAAAATTGAGTGGAAATGTATGATTGCACTAACTGGAAAATCTAATGTACTTTAAAATGCTTTAAAAATACAGTAGGTAGTATGTGGTTGTAATGCACCCTTTAGTTAGTAACACGAGAAGTGCCTGTTGAAAATGAGTCAGCTAAACCCGTCAGGCCACACACACATACACACACACACACAAACATACACACACACACAAACATATACACACCGTGGGTGTGTGTGTGTGTGTGTCAGATTCCTCTGGACTCCACCCTGCTCTTCACTGTTCCAGGAAATGTTCTTCACTGCTGCCTCACATCTGTCCACTGGTGCTCAACATAGTAGAGGACAGACCTGAGAGCAGACAGACAGACAGGCTGCTGAACAACTGCCCATAACCCGTTTATCGAAGCTGTCAGTGCTGTGGAGGTCTTTTATAAGCAGGGAGGGCGTGGCTGACAGCAGGAAGCCTCCACTTCTCTCGTTTTATCGCTGGAAAATTAACACGCCCAGACTGTGTCTTACGTTGTCATCTCTTACTTGGTAAGTAAAGCTAATTTTAAGATGTTGTTATCTTTTCAAAGCGTTTTATAAGCCCAGATATGTATTAAACATACTTTCTGGACTGAATTTCATGTGTTGCTATGGTGTGTTGGTAACCTGCCATCAAGTGTAAGCTTGTGTTTTCTGGTGGCTGGGCGCTATTCATAGCCGGGTAGCTGTGTTTGTGTTGCAGGCTAAGGTCAAACACCTGAAAAGGCTTTTTGTGAGCTGGGGTCTGGTCCTCAGCGGACAGGGTGGGCGCAGAATGTGAGCTCTGTACATGTTATAGCCCCCTGCTTGAAACTGCTCTGACATCCCAGTTTAAAGTCGAGTAAACAGCAAAGATTAAAGTTTAATTTAGCTGCGGTTAAACTGAATATTTATGCTTCATATGGCTGTCTTAAAACTTTGGGCGAAACCGTAAAGATGCACATTTCATGTTGCACAACCTCTCGTCCAGCCTGTATGAGTGTTTACTTTTATATTTTGGGTTATTACTCATTGTTTCGATTTGTTTGTTTACTTCAACTGCTGTCCGCTGAGGACCCGGGAATAGACTCATGTAGGACAGACATTTTTACTATTATACAGGGAGAAGCACCTAGGTGTAACCAGTAACACTAATGATGGCTTTATCCATTTAAGTGTCTCAGTAAGCCATCACAGTGAGTATACTATACCTGAGACACATAAAGGGAATGCAGCCATTACTAACTAACTAATTACTACAGTCAATTAAACAAAAATAAAGTTATCCAATTTTCTATCATGTAAGGACAAGAAGAAGGATCAATTCTCACATTTTAGAACCTGGTACCATTTAATTTTACCATTAAATTGCTGAATCAAAATAATTGTTGCCTATTCTGTCAGTTGAGTTTTATTACACAAGTAATCTTTGCAGCTCTAAACTAATAACTATATTGCAGAAGAAGGTTAAAATAAAATATAAATTTAGGGCAAGAAAATAATAAAATACCCTCTTCTGCTATTCCAAAAAGGTCAGACTACACTAGTTACAGCTAAATGAAAAATTACAATACCCTCTTCCTTTTCTGAGACCCTATCCCCCAATCATTTCTTTACAGTCCCTAATCATCACCTGTTAACCTAACTATGGATGACAAAATAACAGAAAACAAACAAAGTTATTGAAGTCATAAATGTGAATGTGTTGTTGTTGTTCAGTGAACCTACCCTGAATAAGTAAAGTCAGAAACATGTTTTCACACTGGTTTTAATTTGATAACCAAACCGGTTCTTACTATTTTTGTCTTGTGTTTCTGTTGTTTTGTGATGCCACACTTCTTCACATATGTGGTATTTCCTGGGCACAGGGCCTTGCTGCCAGTAATGTGTAAATTTTGAGTCAACTTCACAACACTGACTAGAACATAGTGTTGGTGGCGATGATGATGTGGGAAATCGACTCAAGCCACCACCTTGTACATCTGCTACAACTTATCTGAAACCCACTTTGACAGATTCTAAATGTTAACTTTCCAACAGAGGAGCTACACCCTCCTATTCAAACACACACAGACCTCTCGTCTGCTGTGTGTCAATGCCCAAAGCAGTGATCAGCTCTGTGGCTCATTCTGTGACTGTTTGACTGAAGCACTTTTTCCATTCAGTGTTTTCTGTCCTGTTGCTTGGTGCTTGGGATGTGATGTAATGGCAGCACGAGGTGGAGCCAGCTCTTAAATTCCTTCACTGTGCGTATTCCCCTAAAAGCCCCAGTGTAAATGAAGCTCAGAGAACATTTTCTATTTTCTAAATAACTGAGCAAACAGGAACCTACTCACAGGTCAGTCTTTTTAATAAGGTGGCTTAGTTTCTATTGTAATATTGTAAGGAGTGAAATGTGTTTAAAATATAAATGATTGATGTTGTAAAAGAGGGTTAAATTAGTTGGTAAAGCATCTTGTAAAAGTACCACAACTCTTTTAATACTCATCGCAGGAACATGGAATACATCGGCCATATGTGACAACACTTCGTTCATGTGTGTGTGGTTTATTATTAGATATTTCCCTCAGAGATGCATGTGGTGGTTCCTGAGCCCCTGGTGGTTTTTGGGAACCACATTGCTAAGCAGAACCATATGCTCACTTTAACCTCATACAACCCTAAATGTATCTTGAAAGTCAAGTATGATTATTACCCAGCCAAATGTAAGTGTTGGATAAATATGTGCACATAATTCACAGACTCCAACAGCAGCCAGTGCTGACTGCAGCCACTTTCTTGTGTGTACATGTTTGTGATGGTTTATGTGATTTGTTTATTTATTTTTTATTAACCCTCAGAGATGTTTTTATCTCTATGGGGCAGCCACTGTATCCTTTTAAAGGTGTATAACATTTAGGATTAACGACAAAGAAATGGAATATAATATTCATAGGTATGTTTTCATTAGTAGAATCACCTGAATATAGGAATTCTTTTGTCACCATAGAACAGTACAGTTGGTAATACTTCTCCATGGGTTGATAACTACAGCTCCTTTCACATTCACAGTCATTTAATTTATTTATAATGAGCAGCATTAATGGCACACATGTACACTGACAGCTAGATCTGTGAAAAGCTAAAATCAGTGGGTATTGGCCATGGAGATGTATTTGTCCTTGTGGTTTGTTCCCTACTGTTCACCCTCTCTGTTGTCTGCTTTTGTACATAGAAATGTTAAACACATGTGAACTGTATTTTTTCCCACTTCCCTCTTCACAGAGAAAATGTCCAGGTCAGACTACCCACCGGGGTACGACGACTCCCGGGGCCCGCTATATCCACCTCAGGGAGGGAATTACCCACCACCCCCTGCGTATGGCTTCCCTGCCTTCGGTGGTCCCCAGCCCTCTGCTCCCTACCCCACTGGTTCAAATGCCCCTCTGTACCCAGGCCAGCCGGGGGGCTATCCTCCTGGCCCGTACCCAGGACAGTCTCACCCCGCTGGGCCTCCAGGAACTGGCTACCCCAATCCTCCTCCCATGCCCCCTGTCATGCCACCTACCATTCCATCAGATATCCTGAGCTCTGGTAAGACGGGGACTGCTGAGGATATCAGTGTGTGTGTGTGTCTTCTAATGGAGTTTTCGCTTTTTTAAAACTAATGTAAAGAGAAGACAGTACTGTGCCACTTGTGACAAAATTTGGGAGGGTGATTTTTGGTACCTTGTCCTGACGTTTTAAAAAATGACACCGGTTTGTTGAACCAGTTGAAAAAAACACAAGCTACATCCAACCAGCATTAACAGGAGCAAAGGCCCTGGTCCCTCAGTATTAGCCCTTATCCTCACAGCTTGCATGAGCAGTGTATGATAGCTGCCTCACTCAACTGCCCCAGCTCGCACCACTGAGTTCACACAGACAGCTGCTGCGCTGCTGTTGCCAGTCCTGTCTTTGAGTTTGCCATTGATAAATACAATACAGTAAAAGCCTTGTTAATAAATGAATGGATTCTGTCCACAGAAATGTCAGAGAGTTATTTTGTTGGCTTTATTGATAGAGTATAGATAGACAGGAAAGGTGGGTGGAGAGAGGGGGGATGACACGCGGCAAAGGGCCGCAGGTCGGTTTCAAACCTGGGCCGCTGCAGCAACTCCGTATATTGTTCGCCAGCTCTACCGACTGAGCTAACCAGGCGTCCCTAAATATCAGAGAGCTTAATGTGAAACAGATATGAAAGGTGTTGAATAAAAATATATATTTATATTTTTTCATGTCTGTGACATATTGTACAGATAGACATTGAAACTGAAGTCAAAAGATGTATACGTTGCTGGTATAATGTCAATATGACTATGAACAGACCCTTTTCACTGTCTGTTTTTACTGGGAACTGTGTTACTGTGTGCGGAAACAATAGGTGAGACCTTGACTCTCTAGTGAAGCATCGCTGCAGCTGTGGCTGAGTGTGATCTACATGGCTCACACTGCCCATGTGGCTCTAACCTGTCAACATGGGCACCAAAATCAAAATCCAAATGTTGACCACGCACACACGCTGCTCATTCATCATGTGTGGACCGGGCCTTAAAGCTCAATTTGTTTAAATAAAGAGTGAAACATTTTGCTAAACTTTGCTCATTCACTTTCCTGCCTACAGTTAGATGAGAAGATTAATAACGCTCACATCTGTACAGTAAATATGAAGCTACAGGCAGAAGACGGGGGGAAATAGACAGCCTGGCTCTGTCCGAAGGTAGCACAATCAGCCTACTAACACCTCTAAAGCTTACAAGTTATATTTCATTTGTTTAATCTTATGTTAATCAGTGAGCTTTAAAGGTGCTGCTATGCAGATTTTGAACATTTGCACTAATCATCTCTTTAATGGGATATTCGGTATGCGGTATTAATCTTCTGATCTAACATTCTGCAAGGAAGCTAATATAGCATATTTTGAAAAGGACTGCTTTGAATGTTGAATTTACTCTGTCTTACTCTTTGGTGAGGGATGACTGCTCATATTTCTGTTCTGATGACAGGTGATGAGTTTGCGGCGAGTGACAGCGGTTGGGACAGCATGAGTATTCGGCATGCCTTCATCAGAAAGGTAAAACCCACAAACCATACTAGATTTCTGTCCTTTATCATTACATTTGAACCACAGAACAAAACTAATGTTTTTCTGAAAATTAAATCACCTGCAATCTTTGAAAGGTTTCATTATTTTTTGTGCGTGAGAAGGAAGATATATGAGACACTAACTGGGGCCAGTGCTGACAAAGGATGGACTAAATTGTTTAAAACTACGGGGTGTAATGTTCCTTTTGTCTGCATGTGTTTTTCAGGTCTATTTGATTTTGGCGTCTCAGCTCCTTGTCACCACAGCCATTGTGGCCGTTTTCACATTTGTGTGAGTATACATAGTGTGTTGTATTAGCAACAGTTAAAGAAATACCTAACAAGTTTGAGCCATTAAGGCCTTCATCAGGGCAAATACAAATGTAGTAAGTAGTAACATGATTAGTGTAAACAGGTAAAGTCACATGACAGACCATGTTCAGCAGAGGAAACCACACATCAGAAATCCCCACAATGACAGGGCAAAACAGCAATAAGGAAATACAAAACTTAAAACCTCTCAATATTTAAGTTTTCAGCACACACAGACAAGATGGCTGATGACTTGTTCAAAGGAGATGTCCAATTGTGTGGCTTTCAGTGTATAGATCCAAAACGATTCTCTTTGTAAGAACCTTTTAAAGCTGTTTTCACAGTGGTAGGTAGAGAACTGAAAATATATATATATTTATACAGTACTCCCATAAAATTGACTCAAGTAAAAGTGAAAACTAAGTGTTTGGTTAATGAATTTTTCAAAGTACAACTTACTTGCCATTTGAATATTGTTATGGTGTTCACTTCCAATTATAAAGAGGAAATTAAGATTGTGGATACCTTAACTGATTTCTAAAGCAAACATATTAAATGCCCATCAGACCTCTGGCTACAAGATAAGTCAGTGTAACTCTCATAACATCAGAGATTACCGTTACACATGCAAGATGAACATAGCTAACATTAACATCTTCAATGGGCTGAAGGAGGTTAGAAGAGGAGTTTTAAAAGTGGAGGTCTCAGTGTACAGCAGGCACTTCATGTAACTGTTATTGGTATAAAAAGTGGCCAGGGATTGTCTCTTGTTCTTCATCACATTGTAGTCAAAAGACAAGTGGTGCTTATTTTTCTTCTGGGCAGCTGGCAACTTGGCATCTGCAGTTGAGGTGATCCTCGCGCACTCTCCCTCCTACAATCCCTGCATTTAGAGCACACCAGTTGTAACAAAGTAGATTACTGGCTCAAAAATATGCTGGACTAAAGAGTAAACATACATTTTTTTTAAAAGGAAGTAGATGCATTAATCATTCCTTTCAGAAACTGCCTGGTTCTCTACATGGTGTATGCCTGATATCTTTAACAGTCTGCAGCTGCCCTGGTCAGCTTTGTAATGCAGATCCATGCCATATTGGGAGTTGCCAGTTCTCATACAGAGTGTGTGTTTTCTGTGCATGTTTGTTGTTCTGTTTGTATTTGTGTCTGTGTATCATTCTGTTAACTGTGTCTCTGTTTCTCACAGCCAACCAGTCAGAACCTTTGTACAGAGAAACCAAGCTATCTACTGGGCATCATAGTAAGTCTCACTCTGGGCCGACATCACCGCCTTTAAAGTTATTAAAGTTCTATGTTTTACAGGAGTCAAATGAAAGTTTGCTAATATAAATATTATTGTTTTAGTGCTGTGTATTTCATCACCCACATTGTGCTGGTCTGCTGTAAGGGCCCCCGGTGAGTGCGATTCCTCAGTCCTACAAAGAATATTCATACAAACAATATTTATAAAACTGCATTTAATCTTCCACTCTCTTTGTAGGAGGAAGTTCCCATGGAACATCATCTTGCTGTCCATCTTTGTAAGCCAGATTACTTGTGGTTGACTTGTGAGTCAGGAACTAGAGACAGTTTCCTGGACTGAAATGCTTAAACTTTATCTAGGTGTGACTTTATATTAGAACTAAGCAGTGAGTCACCACACTTGACTCACACTGTGTTTGCATAATACCTTTGATATGTTGTTTCTGTGTCTGTGTTTTATCAGCTCTGTGTGCAAAAAGGCTCCATGTTTTACTTCATGGATCAGTTTTGTCTGTCAGTAAAAGCGGACTGTTATTATTCAGCTTTGTGGGGGTCATTTCTACATGTTAAATCTTCCCCTGAAAGCTGCAGTCCAGCTCTATTACAATTGTTTCCCCCCCTTTTAAACCTACTACAAGGAGTTTTTACCAGGTTATGAAACAGTCTCAGTTTAATACTGATACCCTTATAGGACATATACATAAACAAACAAGACCATCAGTGAGAAGATTGGCTATTTGTATGTTGTTATTCTCTTAATGCCTGCCATCGGTTAAGTACAAGCCAGGCAATGACGTCACGTTCTCGCGGCAGAACAACTCGGGTTCCGAGTTCATGAGACAAATGGAAAGCAGCATAAGATTTGGTCAGATTCCCATGAATCAGAGAAAAGGAGGTAGTGGAAACACTACCGCTTTTGTCCACAGGGGCCGCCATAATCGCCACAAAATCAAAGTTCCTTGTAGCTGCTTTAAGGCTTTACATCATACATCTTGAACCATCCAATTTTTCTGCATATTTCGCGGTCCAGTCCTCTATAGCTTATGTTTAGGTCAGTTATGAGATTATTTTTTCTTCTTCTAATGTTGTGGTGTAACTGCAGTTTTTTGATGGACAAACAAAACTTTCTTTAACTTTTTACAGACCCTGGCTTTGTCCTACATGACTGGATCTATTTCCAGGTAAAATAAACTTGAAGCTATAGCCCATATATATTCTCTTAACATGCAGTCCGTTTGCCACAAAATAAACTGTGTGTTGCTCTTTGTTTTTAGTTACTATGACACAAAGGCAGTGTTTCTGGCCCTGGGTATCACTGCCGTCGTCTGCATCGCCGTCACAGTCTTCTGCTTCCAGACAAAGGTGTGTGTGTGTGTGTGTGTGTGTGTGTGTGTGTGTGTGTGTGTGTGTGTGTGTGTGTGTGTGTGTGTGTGTGTGTGTGTGTGTGTGTGTGTGTGTGTGTGTGTGTGTGTGTGTGTGTGTGTGTGTGAGTGTGAGTGTGAGTGCTTATCAGCTTTTAGTGGCCAAAGTGTATTTGTGCAGCCACACATTTGTTAACAAGCCTGTCGGTGGTTTCTCTTTCCAGGTGGACTTCACCAAGTGCCAGGGCCTTTTCTGTGTCCTTGGGATTGTAGTATTTGTGACTGGCATCATTACAACCATTGTGCTGTCCTTCAAATATGTGAGTTAAGGCTGATGTGAACAAAACAATGTTTCCTGAGAACACGCCTTTTCAAGTTTCCACCATTGTAATGATCGTTTGTTGTTGCAGATTCTGTGGCTTCACATGCTGTATGCAGCTTTGGGAGCCATAGCTTTCACTATGGTGAGTATTAAATGCTATGCAATTTCACTTTTTTCAGTTTTTTACAGTTGCCCTTGTGGTATTACTTTGTGTATTACTTTCTTACTGAACACTTTTTACAGCGTCATTCTGGATGTTTCTTCTATGTTTCTTGTAGTTCCTAGCGTACCACACTCAGCTGCTGATAGGAAACAGGAAGCATTCAATCAGCCCAGAGGAGTATGTGTTCGCTGCACTCTCCATCTACGTCGACATCATCCAGATCTTCCTTTTCCTGCTGCAAATTATCGGTGCTTCAACTAAATAAATGCACCAAAGGGTACACGACCAACTTGGGTCAACAGGGTGCAAAACTGTACCGTGCTTTTTAAAACCTTTTGCTTTGTTTTCAGTCAGAATCAGAATAAATTTTATGAGATCATAATGCACTAAAGGGAAGGGCTGAATTTTAGATTTTGTCATAGTATAGGTTAATCCTATGTACAAAAAACACTTTCTGATATCAATATTTGATAAGTTCCTTAAAGCAGATATAGTGTTTAAAGGAGAATATTAATACTTGTAATATTACATACAATATAAATACCGCAAATATCTATAGACACTGGACTGCCAGCTGCAGCATTTATTCACTTCTGCTGGACTTAAGTTAAGGCAGACAGTGTCTGAACCTTTTTCTCTGGATGTTAATGTATTGCTATACATAAACTGGGTCACATCAGTATAAACGTTGAGGAAATAGGCAAACGTGTGTTCAAACTCTCACTTGCCAACACAGACACCCACCTCTCTGGCTTTTACAGTGGGGGTGGGCAGTGCGTCTTATGATTTATGAATAATTGATACATTACATCTAAATACATTTAAATGACCACTCAAGTTTTTCAAACATTAGGCATTTCTTATATTTGCTGTTACGTACTTAAAGGAATGGTTCCAGATTTGTGTAAACAAACGCTTATTTGCCTTCTTGTTGAGTTAGATGAAAGGATTGATACCACTCTCATGTCTGTCCGATAAATGTAATACAACCAGCAGCCAGTTAGCTTAGCTTAGCTTAGCATAAAGACTGGAAACAGGGGAACAGCTAGCCTAGCTCTGTCTGAAGATAAAAAAATCTGCCTATCAGTACCTCTAAAAATTACTATTTAACATGGTATATGTCACAGATTTCCTGAAGTCTCCACTGGAGGGTTTATACTTTTATACTTGGTGTAGAGCTTTATAAGTTGCTGGTAGGGTACCTGTTTCCTCCTGTTCCCAGCCTTTATGCTAAGCTAAGCTGCCAGCTGGCTGTAACTTCATATTCTCTGTACAGGCACGAGAGTGAATCAGCACATTTCTACTGCTTTAAATATATTTATAACATACATAAAAAAGCAAAAAGGGTTCATGGTAAATAACAAATATTTATTGTGTAAACTCTGAACCAATGACTCTGCACTATGAAGAGTGTTTGTGTCTAAAAAGTGATGTTACACAATGTAACATTTGGTACTGATCTTAAGGACACAAGTACAGATACTCAAAATCACACTTATGTCAGCATTGGTGATTGATCTGCCCACCCCTGACACCCAGCTCAGTACACCTAGTGACAGCCTCAGACCTGCAGTCATGGGGTTATTTTATCAAGCCTTTGCTGGTGGTTTTTAATACACGTGTTGCTTTATTCTAACTTTATACATTCTACATCACTATAGTGCCTTCACAATGACGTTTCTGAGATTAGATTTTTTTTACTTTAAGAAGTATGTGTACAGTACTCGATAAGCTTTTATAGTATTGTTACAGTATGTGCCTGTTTATATAGTCTTGTGTTACAGTCTGAGTTGGGTCAGAAACTGAGTGCCAGCAGGGTGGGTTTGTCCATACAGGGCCACAATGTCATTCCTGAGAGTCAGTGAGCTCCAGTTAATGTGGAACTGTCCAAAAACATGATCAACCCCATCCAGCTGGTCCTCCACACATGTTCATATTCATCAGAAATATAGACCCAAGCCACATAATCTTTGACTCTAAACAACTATGGCAAAAATGTTGAATGTTTAGAACAGATAGTCAGCGTGGGCTTTGTAAATATACATATCAATGATGAGGGAAGTCTGTTTGCCTTTTCATATCAAATAAAGATTTGTATTTGTGAGTTTTGATGTGGTTTATATGCAGTTATGCAGTTATACCAGTGATGAGTCATTTTATTAATTCAGAAAATAATAAACATTTATTTCCTCTTCCATCATATTTCAGAACATCAGCATCAGGGCTAATAAATATGTGATCATTCTCCAGATTCAATGATGCAGTCAACAGTATGATCCATCCTCTGTTCATTAGCAAGACTAATCAAATCTGCAAAAAAAAAAAAAAAAAAGCAAAACATCCGTTCGATTAAAGGCTGTCACAAGAGCGTTCCTTCTCAGATTTTCTTGCATCAGCCTGTAGAAGAAATACTGACCCACTTCTGAATGCCTCAGAGGTTTTGGATGTTTTAAACTCAAGCTCATGAAGTTGATCTCTTCTGTAATCAGTCTTTGGGGCTGTAGTGAAAGTCACCGTGTCAGTAGTGATTTTCAGGTTATGATACAGTAGCCACACACGTATATTAGTGGTCCAGTTTAACATCCTCTGCAGGATGGTGGTAGCGACTCCCTTCATAGTCTCCCTCGTTTGACTTTCTCATCCTCTGTCGGACCTTCAGCTGCTTCAGTCGGTTCTTGTCCACTTGTCTCTTGGCCAGGAGGAAGCTGATGATTCCTGCGGGGAGGCCTATTATCCTGGAGGGCAGAGATCAATAATTGTTTTACTCAGTGGACCACACATACAGAATCTATTATTGATGCTGAGTGTAGAAAATCTATTGACATACTGTAATGTGGAAGGATTCAAAGGAATTCAAGAAGTGTTTGACTCATGGTGCTGTTGAATTGGATTGTGTTTTTAAAATATATTGTCCATCCTGTTTATATGAATAAGTGTAGAGATTATAATGTAGATATTATGAAGGTAGGATTCTTTGCAGAATTGCTGTATTAGACCGTTTTAGTTTTACCTTGGTGTACAGAATAAATCTACAGTATAGTGTATAATCTAGCTAGAACTTCCCTTTCAAACACTGGTTTGGTTCTGGTGCATGAATATAAACACCTGCATTGTTTTTCTGTCAGATTGTTACAATAGTAACTTCCAGTTCCTGCAAAACAGCTGTTAGTGCCGACAACAGCACTCTAAATAACCAGAATAGTAAGAAGAATGAATAATTTACTAGATCTGACACACACACTGCCAGGGTTGTTTTTGAGGCAATACACCAGCAGCAGGGACGGTAAGGACTCAGCCTTAATGGTATGCAATCTACCAAGTGAGCTACCTCGGTGCCCCAGACCACAAGACCTTTTTACAAAAACTGAAGTGATCCCACATATTCAGAATATATATATATATAAAAAGTTTTTCCATTCAACTACTCTAACTAAAGCTGACCCAGCAGCAGAGGGCTCCTTACCTACAGGGACAAACAGTCTTTCAATGTTTAGTATAAACATATTGTTAGTTGAGACTCAAATGAAGTACAGTTTCACATTTTGAGATTATATGATGATGTAAGGGCTACTTTATTTAGTTGAACGTCTATCATTTCTGAGTTGTATTTAAAATAGGGCTGCACAATTCATCAAAATAGTATCGAAATCGCAATATAAGAAGTGCAATATACACATTCATTCACTGATGACCTAGCACCTGGTTGCTTAAGGACACTGACATGCTGCGGGAGGAGCTGGGGATTGAACCACCAACCTTCTGTTCAGTGGATGACCCACTTTACCTCCTGAGCCTGTGGCTTAGACTTTTATATGGCAAATTTTATGAAGAGCTCGAAAAAGGAGACAAAGATCTTTGTCTGCAATGTAATAATGTATAAATGATGTTGTGCGTTTACCACTACAACTGTATATTTGGTGTCTTATAAGTCCATGTTGGATTGGCACTTATGTAAATGACACAAACTAACATTGACTACTGCTGTAGGTACTACATCCGCTGATACTTTATATTTTAAAACATGACATACTCACAGGTACATTCCCACTGGTGTGGTTTAGAGAGTATTTGCTGATTGACAATCTACACATCCTTTCTAAACATTTAGTTAGACACTAATGTGTAAAGGAGACTAACCAGGCATAGCCAATCAGCATCATGGGGTTCTTTGCCTTTTCCTTAGGAATGTATTCAGGACCCTCGGGTTCCTCCTCCTCCTCCTCCTCCTCCTCCTCCCTCCTCCCTCTCCTGTCGTCTGTGTGGGAGGCGGCTGTCCTCTGTGTCTCTGTCCTGGAGCTGCACTGGGAGGCAGTAGAGGAGACATGTAGCGGCCGACACCGGGCAGCGTGCAGCCGAAAACACTGACACACTGCCGGGGTTCCGCTCCTGTGCGTGAGGAGCCACCGGGCGGGAACAAAGTGGACACCTAAGGGGGGAAAAATACCTTTATTCTTCAAAGACTTCTGTCCCCTCTGTGGAGAGGTGCTAACGTGAACCATGTAGCTAAAAACAAGGAAGCGCCTGTGTTGCCCAAACAAAATAACACTACTATATGTTATTTACACTAATGACACTTTCGCTGCCGAAAGGTAGCTTACTTGTTAGTTTGAATTATCTCTGGCTGCTAGACTTGCTTACAGTAGGTGTAAGGTTAACACATCATTTTACCTTTCAGTGCTGTCCTAACCGTTGTCACGTAGGGTGCCGCCATGTTTGTTGAATAATCTCCGTTGGCCATGCGCAGTGGCATTTGAATCACGTGTGTGCTGCCACCTAGCGGACAGCGTCGATGCAGCGCTTCAATTACATACTGTGGCACATGAACAGTGCAAACATACAAAGCCAAGCAGTTGTGCGTTTATGTCAACATTTTATTTATTTAACCAACACTTTCTTTCACATCATTTTACAAAAAGACATACAATTGAACATTGAACCCATGGAGGCAAGTAAGCCTCAATGTATGCCTCTAATATACATTTATGGATAAACAGCAATTACACAATTCAGGGCAGTTCCCTTGACTGAGAGCCAAACAGACAGAAACCAGCAAGCAACTGGAGGAAAGAGAGCAGCATATTTACATGAGTCAGTTTGACCTTTTTTGTTTTTTTCCAAAGGAGAATCGTCTGTACAGTCGAGATAATAAACTCACAAAACAAGTCTAAAAACATCTCCAGTGCTACTTTTATGTATGTGTTACATATGAGCATTCAAAAACACCCTGAACATCCACTTTATTGTTGACTGTTTAATACCAACAATCGTGGAAGCTGGAAGGGGAGTGAAGAAAAACAAAACAGGAGGGATGAATGGAGGAGTTTAATCTTCCAGGGTGTAGTTGGGGTTGACGACCAGAACAACTTCTTCGTCTGTGCTCGCTGACTCTGAGCCCTTCAGCCCCGCCTGGGACAGCTCGATGAGGATGTGATCCTGGGGGAAACAGAAACACGTCAGTTGTTTCCGAACTTGCGTTAAAATGACTCTTTGTCTGCTGGTTTACAATCAGTGCTAGTATTGTTGCAGAGGGTGGACTCACATAATGCACCAGCCTGTGGAGGACCTTCTCTATCAGACCCTTCCTGTTGACCAGCTCCTCCTCGGGAGTCGATCTCTGACTCGATCTCCTTCAGATACCAGTTCACCACTGCACTTTTCTTCAGCTCCTCCTCTTCCTCAGCTGCAACACAGGTATCAGTCAAAGGTTAGATTGGATGATACAAGAATAAGACATTCTTTTGAGTAGTCTGAAGGGGGGCATCTCTTACCCTCCTCTGCCCTACGCAAATGCAGGACCAGCAAGTTGGAGATGCGTCTGTACTCGGGGAAGGAGAGGCGGAGAGACGGTTTGGGATGGCTACCAGACTCAGTGTGGCCGTTCACACCGTTGCCGTGGCCGTTAATTCCATTGACGTGCCCGTTAATGCCATTAACAGGGCCGTTTACGCCGTTCACTCCGTTAGGGACGGCGTTTCCTGCAAAGGCGAGTTTGCATTAGATGAAACCTCACGATGCATTTACATGGATAAACATGCAACATTAAGTTAATGTGTACATCTGTCACCAAGACAGTGTGTTTGTATGCGTCAGTACCATCCTCCTCCTGCGGCTCCTCCTCTTCCAATTCGTCCTCCTGTTCTAGGTTGATGTCGGGCGTCTCCACTCTGATGATGGATTTGTTCAGGAGACGGAAGGCTTCCTTCACATGCTTGGGCTGCACCTGAAGACATACAGAGAAAGGCAAAGGTCAACACTCTGTATCACGTAATGTTGCTTGGGAGTAGTTAAGGATTTTCATGTTTTTGACACTCACCTCATCACAGCAGTGCATGCGCGCCATGCCCTCTGAAAGGCGGATCATGCTCTCCAGCTGTCGCACCGTTATTCTCCAGGCAGACTTAGACACGCCTCCGGAGCCGTCACGCTGACGCAGACGCTTGTACTGCTCCACAATGAACTCTTCAGATTCGCTCGAGATCTACAGGTACAACAAAATGTGCGACGATTAATACAAATCACAAGAGCCAAAACTGTAGTATACGACACAATCAGTGCAGGCAGACACGCACCTTAGGTTTGAACTGCCTGGCAAAGAGCAGGTATCTGCGGATCTCATCCAGAGAGTACAGTCTGTCCACTGATTCCTCTATGCGGGTGTGCAGGTCCACAATGCGTCTGGCGATGGCGTAGTCCGTCACCTGCAATACACACAGATGCACATACAGCATTAGAGACAAGCCAGATACAAGTTTCAGAATCCCTGTAGGGCAATCAGGATTATTATAGCATCAGATAAGAGGATGCAAGACAACAAATGAGTCAACGTAATGGACACATGCTTAACTTAAAAATGATAATAATCTAAAGTTTATTTAATAATCAGTGCAGGAGTATGCTGCGTACCTCATTACAGTCGTCCACCAGGATGAAGAAGAGGTCGAAGCGGCTCATGATGGGGGCAGTCAGGTTGACGTTCTGCTTCAGGCTCTTGCTGCGGTCGTAGCGCCCACCGACAGGGTTGGCGGCCGCCAGAATGGATGTGCGAGCGTTCAGGGTGGCCTGGAGGTGACAGAGGTAAAGTCTGGTTAATCTACTGCAGAGAGGACTGAAAGGCCTCTTGGGTAAAATCTTGGCTTATGACATCTTAAAAGCAAGTTGTAAACTGTTGTATTGGATTTGTACATCATGCTGAAGAAATGTGTCCTTCATGGACAATAAAAGTGTCTCTCTAGACTAAAATTTACTGGAAAACAAGATTTTTTCGCATCTTTCATTTTTAGTTTTTACCACACAAGAGTAAATTAATTTCTAACATCATGATAACACTGAGTCCTGATTTTCAGAATGTGTAATATTCCAGTGTTGAGTTTATGCTGATCTGGCTGATCGATTCATTACCTTGACTCCAGCCTTGGTGATGCTGATGGTCTGCTGCTCCATGGCTTCATGGATGGCCACCTGGTCCTTGAGGTCCATCTTATCAAACTCGTCAATGCAGCACACGCCCTGTAGGGGAAACACTGCCATCAATACGTCTGAATACACTTCATAATGTCCCTCGCTGCCCTTTGTGACTCCCAACACTCACGTTGTCAGCCAACATCAGAGCTCCGGCCTCGATGACAAACTCATGGGACTCTTCGTCTCTGACCACGGCTGCCGTCAGACCTGCAGCGCTGCTGGCCTTTCCGCTGGTGTACACAGCTCTGGGGCTGAACTCCTCCACGTGCCTGTACAGACACACACACAAAAAATGACAGATGCTGTCAGTCAATACATTCGATGGATAAAAATGTAGCTCCTGTAGTTAAGTAGTTGCTGGAAATGTGTCTGCTGTGTTGTGTTACATACTTGAGGAACTGGCTCTTGGCGGTACTGGGGTCTCCGACGATGCAGACGTTGACGTCTCCTCTCAGCGAGGTTCTCTCCATGGTCGTCTTGGGAACGCCTCCGAACAGCATCAGCAGGATGCCGCGCTTCACTTCATCATTGCCTGCACAACAACAGTCACCATTTAACTGAAAATCCTCAGCTCTAACACCCTCGGACTAAGCTGTCTGACAGAAAACGTTCAGCGATGGTTCAGGCACTGACCGTGGATGGTGGGGAAGAGGCTGGTGCACAGGTTGTGGTACAGATTTTTGTCTTGGCTCATCTCAAACACTTTCTCCCACTCTTTCTCTGTCATCTGGCTCTTGATGCTTTCTGCAGTCTGCTCCTCCTCCCGCAGCTCCTTACCGCCAAACTACAACAAGAGGAAACACACATTTCTAACTAAACACCAGCAGCTTTTTTTTGTTTCTTCTGTTCGAGTGGGTATTAGCTTCTGTGAGTGTCTCTTACTCGTGGGTTGGTTGGGGCCACGTTGCAGGCCAGGAAGGCCAGTCTGTATGAAAGCTCTCTGACTCCCAGAGCCTTCAGCCCTCTCAAACCCTCAGACTCAAAGCCCTGGGGTCCTCCGGCTACACGGGTACTGGTCTCTGCTCGCACACCTGTACAGGAAAACCAACACAGATAGTCGTGAGGTGCCAAAAAAAACTAAAACAATTTATTGAAGTACTTTCTTTTCTCAATTGGTGACAATTGGGATCAGAACCATACCAGGAGTGCGGAGCTGGGACACATCCGGCACGACAATGAGGGTCCCGGTGAAGTCACAGCGGTCTCCGGCCTGAGCCGTCTCCACAGCCTCGGCCCTCAGGACGACCTCCAGGGAGCGTGGGATTGAACCACGAGGCAGTTCCGCCTGCGTCTCCTGGATACGGACCTGAGCACACACAGTTAAGACTCAATCAGACACCTCAGGACTTAAAGCTGTCATCAGTACCCCTGTGTCCTATGTTCGCAGGGATACACACACCCTCTTGCATTTACCTTCTGGAAGTCGATGAACTTGGATTTGTGTGTGTCCAGGTGGAAGCGGGCACGATTGCTGCAGACGGGGTTCCTGCAGATGGTTGGTGGGGAGTATTTGAACTGCTGAGGGACGTCTTTGATCACTGCCTGGCAGTCCATGCACAGGAAGGTGCCACTCACCTGTTACCATAAAGGAGTATTTGTAATGAGCAGGCTATAACAGACAAGCTCAACATTACTACGTTTATGCATCACAGCTTTGATTTTGCACAGTTCACACCACTGACTATCTTTGTGCATGTGTTGACTGCAGGACATCTTACCAGTTCAGGGTGTACTGGGTGTGTCCTCACCACCTGACCACTGATCCTCACCAGGGTGCCAATACGCATGGATGACAGCTCACGGATCCTAGATTACACACACACACACACACACACACACACACACACACACACACACACACACACGAAAAGGGTTTTATATATTGCTCTAGATTCACTCATGTAACAGATAGATCAAGTTTTAGATTTGAAAGTAAAATTATAGCAACAATTTCTACTAGAACAGCTACAGTATGTCAAATCACACTATATTATATCGTATCCCAACAAAGCAATATGGAATTAACTGAAAACAAAGTGCGTGCACAGTTATTCACACCATACCCAGCACTTAAAATGTAGGTCTGTCATGCGTCTTACTTGTGTCTGGTGGGCAGATCCTCAAGGGCAACGTAGAACTCTTTGTTTAGAGGAACATTCCCATGATCCCGAGCAAAGTTGCGCACTGCCCGGCAAAGGAAGGGGTAAACTCTGAAAACACAATCCTTCATGTTAGTCAAGAGCTGCCTCTGCATGGCTGTTAATGCAGTTAGTATAATATGTATATGTGTGTGTGTGTG